ATAGAGGGTCCCGGACAGAGCTGGAGAAAAATGTAGAACAAAATTCTAACTCACAAAAAAAGACCAGACTTACTGGCCTGACAGAGACTGGAGAAACTCAAGAGTATGGCCCCTGGACATCCTTCTAGCTCAGTAATGAAGTCACACCTGAGGTTCACCCTTCAGTCAAAGATTACACAGGCCCATGAAACAAAACGAGACTAAAGGGGCACACCAGCCCGGGGGCAAGGACTAGAAGGCAGGAGGGAACAGGAATACTGGTGATTGGGAACCCAAGGTCAAGAAGGGAGAGTGTTGACATGTCGTGGGGTTGGTAACCAATGTCACAAAACAATACGTGTATTGTTTAATGAGAAGCTAGTTTGTTCTATAAACCTTCATCTATATTACAATAATAAAAACAAAAACTCATTTTACCAGTTGCCATGGAGTCAATTAAAAATTTCAGTTTAGCAGACCTGAATATTCAAATTTTATATATCCTCTATATTTATATAATAATGCAGAGATTACAAAGTTAATCCGTATACATTATCCTACTTTCTCTTCACTGAGAATAAAGTCCAAGGATGAAAATGAGGGTCTGAGAAGTTTCAAAGTTTGGCCAAATTCATACCACTCCAATTGGAATTGGAGCCCAGGACTTCTACAAAGTCATAAAGCAATCTGTCTATTATACAATATCACCTCTTATGCATTGTATTATTAAATATAACTCTGACTTTCCATGTCATACTATTGAATGTATTGTTAAGTATGTTATTAGAGAAGGAAAGAAAGAAATACTCTCTATGCCAAAATCTGATTGACTGAATTATGAGGGAGAATTGAAATGTAAACTCACAGTAGAAGTTCAGTACTCGTCCCTGGGTTAGTCCAGCAGACTAATTTAGTTAAAGGAAATTGTGTTATTCAGTTGTTATTGATTTACATTAAATAGTTCATCTCCAGGGGACCATATTCTTCTTAAATTGTTTTATGAATCTCTAAATTGTATAAACATTGATCTGGAATATTTAGCTTTGTTTCCTATTAAAAAAAGGTAGGTATCTGTGAGGTTTCTTTTAGTCATCTCTGTTCACTTAAAGCCAGAAAGTAAAGAAGGCAGGCTCCATAAAATCAGCTGTTATTCGTTATCTCCAGCTTAGAGAAGTGCCTGGAAATAGTAGGTGCTCAAGAAATGTGTTTAATGAATCAGTATTCATATTTTTATTAAAAAGCAGGGCTGGTATTCATATAAGCCTCTCCTTACTCTAAGGAACATTGTTCATAATATTTTATCATATTTTTATGTCTACTTTAACTTAACCCATAGACTGGAGTATTATGCTGTAAGAATACAGATAAGTCTTTTTTTTTTTAATTTAATTAAACTGAAACCTGGTTCGTCTGATTCTAAATATATGAAAGCAATATAAAGCGTGTTTCCAGGAAAGAAATGGATTTTCCTAGACTTTCTGCTGTTTCTTAGTTTAGAAAGGAAAAAAAAAGTAGGACTGAAGAGAAAAATAACATGTACCTTTTTAAAAGGAGAGGCTAAGCAGTTGACCCTTTGCTGAAATGGTCAAAAATAAATGTAGCTTGACGGCAAAAATTATTCCAGCCAAATTGAAATCCATGTCTACCTCCTTGTAGGTAAGTTTCTTTTTACAGAGAGAAGTTAATACTGGGGTATATGACCATTTCAGTCATTCGAGTATAAACTAGGAAAGGTTTCCTCATTTGCAACCGTAGTTAATTTTTTACGACTTGTTCCTTTCTTTCTCCGAGTGGTAATCAGAAGAATGTTTATTGGTGGCTTATTTTTTTAATTCATTGAACATTTTTACTTTTTCTATGCCACTTTCCTTTTCAGAGATGGAATCAAAATATTTAATTTTCCTAAAACATATAAATAAAATCTCTTGTAGTCACACTGCATAAAATCTTACCATTCAGCAAACTTCACTGTTGTGCATGTTTTCCCCTTTACTTCACACAACTCATGTGGCTTTTCTTTCTTTCTTTTTCTTTTTGGTTCATTCATGTGACCTCTTATTATATCCATCATTCCATTTTTCTTTCCTATTAGAGTGAAATTGGACACAGCCCTCCTCCTGCCTACACCCCTATGTCAGGAGTAAGTATTTCACAATCAACATTCATCTTTTAGTAGTTCTGGTCTTTGCTTCCATGTTTCCTCTCTCTCATCTCCCCATAATGTCCTCATTTTGCCTTTGCCAACAGTGAGTTAAGAATTTGAGATTGTGTAGCTGCCTTTGTAGATGTGTTTTACCTCTGTGGATAATCCAAAGTTGAGATATCATGCATCAACAGTAGCTTTCAAGTTTTATCTAACCAAGCTCCTAAATTATGCTGCTGGCTGTGGAGTTATCTTTACTCCCATGATTATAAATCCTGTGGTAGAAAGAATCTCAGTGATGATTCTCTAGTTAGGTACTAGAGATTCAAAATCATAGTAACCACAGAACGGAAGTCAGTAAGGAAATAACATTCAAAGTGTGTCACTCCACTTCTGTTCTTAATGCCAGCTGCCTACAATTAATGACACTGCCATTTGTCATGAAAATTCACTTTAAATGTTATGTCATAAATAGGCAATTGTTGAAAAAAGACATGAAATACTTTTCATTAGCCCATATTTTAGTTGGTTAGTAAAATGAAATTTTATATATGTATATATGTATAAGTGTATATATATATATATATATATATATATCTCCAAATTATAGTCCTGTGATATACCCTTCAAGAAAAATCAGGTGTTTCTATTCTGTGTCTCAGCTCATTAGACATTGAAAGAAAACAACCAATAAAAATTATGACTTTTCTCTGAAAGACAAGCTTTAACATCCCTTGGATTATTAACATGTATCTTTTACATTTGTTCCTAACAACACCTTCCTCCAAATGTGTTTCTACTATTTACAGAACCAGTTCGTATACCGAGATGGGGGCTTTGCTCCAGAACAAGGAGTGTCCGTGCCATACAGAGCCACGACTAGCACAATCCCAGAAGCTCCAGTGACTCAGGGTGCTACAGCTGAGATTTTTGATGACTCCTGCTGTAATGGCACCCTGCGTAAGCCAGTGGCATCCCATGTCCAAGAGGACAGCAGCACCCAGAGGTACAGCGCTGACCCTACAGTGTTTGCCCCAGAACGGAGCCCACGAGGAGAGCTGGATGAAGAAGGTTACATGACTCCTATGCGAGACAAACCCAAACAAGGTACAATCAGAATATTACGAACTGATTGCCAGGCAACATTAACTTCCATCAAAATTAGCCAAGTGTAAAAGGAAATTGCCAAACACTCAGACCTATGTAATGTCTATGACACAGAAAAGGCCAAGGCCCTGCTCTTCAAAGTATCATCCCGAAATCAGCAGCATCCTCATTATCTAGGGGCCTCTTAAAAATCAGAATCTCAGACGCCACCTGAATCAGAATCTCAATTTTAACAAGACTCCCAGGTGATTTGTATGTACCAAGTTTGAGAAGCACTGATCTAGACATATTTTTATTGTAATATTTGAATGAGGTAGCTTATCAGAAGCTCTCAGGATCATTGCCTTATTGAACTTACTGTGGAGATCATAAAAACTGGCTTTGTTTACAAATGTGTCCAAAGCTTTTGATGGTACCAGTAATGATTTGATTGATCCATTAAAATGGTGTCATTTACATGACCTAGTTTATTCTGGAAAACTATGAGTTCTTGTAGGACATGTGGAAATCCTGGCAGCATAGTGGTTAAGAGCTACGACTGCTAACCAAAAAGTTTGAATCCACCAGGTGCTCCCTGGAAACCCTATGGGGCAGTTCTACTCTGTCCTTTAGGGTTGCTATGAGTCAGAATTGACTGGATGGCAACAAGTGTTTTTTTGTTTTTTTTGTTTACCAGGTCTGACACATTTCAAAAATTAAAATTCTGACCTCTGAGTGTGTATGTATACTTCTATGTATAACATCAAGTCTTGAAAATATTAATGGTTTGTGCTTTTACAAAGTACAACAATGATCCATAGTAGAAATGTTAAACACCCCATTAATGTTTCACCTTTGAAAGAAAATCTCTTTCCTTCTATGTTAACAACATCATTAAATGAAGGTTGATGTTTAAGTGTTATTAAAAAATGATGATCATGTCTCTCAGAGTCTTTGGTGTCAACAGTGGACTATATTTTAAGACTTTGTAAAAGGGCCTGTTAATGTCATTTTATATATGGTTATCTTCACTTTTATAAAATGTAATTTAGGGACCACTATGGCGTAGTGGTTAAGAGTTCAGGTTGCTAAGCAAAAGGTTGGCAGTTCGAATCCACCAGCGGGTCCTTGAAAACCCTATGGGGCAGTTCTGCTCTGTCCTGTAGGGTCGCTATGAGTCAGAATCCACTTGACGGCAACGGGTTTGTTTTGTTTTAGAATTACATATATAAGTAACCTATTAAGATATATCTGCTAGATGTATGTAAGCTAGGAGCCCCAGTTGCACAATGGTTAAGCCCTTGGCTGCTAACCAAAAGGTCAGTGGTTCGAACTCACCAGTGGCTCCATGGGAGAAAAGACCTGGCCATCTGCTCCTGTAAAGATTACAGCCTAGGAAAGCCTATGGAGCAGTTCTACTCTGTCCTGTAGAGTCACTATGAGTTGGAATCGACTCGACAGCACACAACAGCAGAGGTATGTAAAAGTTTAAATGTAATGAAGAGTTGGATGTTTATAGTGGCTCAGTAATAGCACAAATGTAGGTTTTGAAAAGATTTGGCAGATCCCCTGAATACAGAATCCTCTCTGGAAATATTTTCCACTCAACCAAAAAGTGAAGTTTATTTCTTCATCTCTAACTGAATATCTGTACAAGTTGGCGTCAAGTCAATAGATAAGTACATTGTGTTGAGAAAATGTAAGATAAGCCCTCTAAGAGAAAGGCAAGTTAGTCTAAATAGACTCTCTGTAGAGCACCTCCAGATTTTATCTCTGAATATTAAGAGACTCAAGTTCCCGTCAAAGGAAGTCTAGCCTAGTCCTCAAACAGTATAGAATTTTAGTATAGACATATACATTAGACATAGATGTGTAATAACTTTCTCAACTATTCTGAATCTGGCATTCTACACTGATTCTAGACCTGGCCCCTTGGACCATGGCAAATCTGAGCATTTGTGATGATTCTTCAGCTGTTTTAGAGTATATGTAGTAGAACCACCTTCAGTCACACCTCTACTTTATAAAACTGGGTGACCTAGTTGTCATACATATAGATAGAAGAAGCACTTAATGGTTGACCAAAAGAAAACTACAAACTTCTCTTCAGCTTTTGTCACATACATACAGAGTGACTAAAAGGTTTAATGAATAAAGCATTCAGAGATGTTTTAAGTTTTTTTGCTTTTGTTTTTATTTTAAGAAATACTGAAATCTTAGCCAATCTTTAAAAAAACTCAAGAAAGACTAAGAGTGGTCAGTATTTTGTCAGGAATCTGGAAAGAAATATCAAATGCTGGCTCCTTGTAAGTTCTTTCATATATTTATCTTAAAATGACAATGGATTTGAGATCTTTAAAAATTAAAAAAAAAATGCTAGTGAATGTAAAGTTCACCCTACTTTTATAGGGACAATAATGAAACAGTACAGCAGAACAAGATTACTCAATACGAGTTAAAAGACCTAAGTTCTAGTACAACACTAAGTGTATCCTGCATGTATCATGTAGTCTCAGTTTTCTCTCTCTAAAACTGGAAAAATAAGGCCTTCACTTCCCTTTGCACAGCGTTGTTGTGAGGATGAAATGATAGTACCTTGAAAATTGCTTGACTGTAATTCATGTGTATGATAAGGAATATTCATTACTGTCTTTTGAATTAGACATGACACTAAGTATTTAACTATATCCAGTATGCCTGTATCCAGGGGAAAATAACCTTGGGCTGTTTCAGAACGGTGGAATCTTGACAAAAAATTGTGTCCTCTCCATGCTTCAGCTCCAAATTAGGAATAGCTTAAGTCTCATTTTTGTGTCTATGGTAAAATAGAGGACAAAAAAGGGTATGTAGTAAATTATAGAAAAGAAGTGGGTTAACATTGAGGATGAAAGCATTAACTAGTGGCAGCATTTTTTTTAATTCTAGGCCAATACCTTTGCTCACTGAATTTATTAAGTTGAACTATGTAAAATACTACTGTTTGATTGGTTTCACCCCATTGTTGTTGTGTGCCATCAAGTCCATTCCGATTCATAGGGACCCTACGAGACAGAGTAGAACTGCTCCATAGGGTTTCCTAAGCTGCAGTCTTTATGGGGGCAGATAGCCAGGTCTTTTCTCCCACAGAGCGGCTGGTAGGTTTGAACCACCAATCTTTTGCTTAACAGCTGAGTACTTAACCACTGTGCCACCAGGACTCCCGGTTTCAAACAAGAAGTTTGCTATTTTATAATTATGTTTAGCCATTGGAAGTTGTTGTTGTTAGGTGCCATCAAGTCGATTTTTGACTGATAGTGACCCCATATGACAGAGTAGAATTGCCCTATAGGGTTTTCTAGGCTGTTATCTTTATTGGAGCATATCACCAGATCTTTTCCCCGCAGAGCCGCTGGGTGGATTTGAACTGCCAAACTTGCAGTTACCAGTCGAGTCCTTAGCTGTTGCACCACCAGGGCTCCTTCCATTGGAAATAAATGAATATAATTACGCTTAATTTTAAAGCGTATGTATTGTCAAGCAAGGAGCTCTGGTGGCACAGTGGTTAAGTGTTCAGCTGCTAACTGAGAGGTCGATGGTTTGAACCCACCAGCTGCTCTGAGGGAGAAAGATGTGGCAGTCCGTTTCTGTAAAGATTACAGCCTTGGAAACCCTATGGAGCAGTTCTACTCAGTCCTGTAGGGCTGCTATGAAACGGAATCCACTCGACGGCAATAGGTTTTGGTTGGGTATTGTCAAGCAAGTCAACTAGAGACATCTTAGGTATCTATCAGGTTTATTTTATTAGCTGAGTCCTTTTCCTCAGGTGTTTCCTATCCTATGTGGAAAAGTTTTTTGAGGAGCATCTACTATCAAATCCTTTTTACCTGTATAGATATTCACAATAAACCGTATAGACTTAAAAACACTATCCCTTCATCCACTTATTTTGGCATGGAGTTAAGTTATAGATACTTTGATTTTCCACTATCCTTTATAAAACTTCTATTTTTTACATATTTAAAGGCTATTTAACCCTGATAGGTAGTCATATCTTCCAACATAAATTATTGACTTTTAGAAAACAGAAATGTTTAAGCCACTAGTTTTGTATGTATGAGAGAGAAATGCCATTTAAAGAAAGAAAAAACAATCTAGGAGACAGGAACTGATCCTGGTCCTGTTGGTGCCTTGTTTTGTCACTAACATTTTGTCTCACTTACTCCTTTTCATATGGATATAATAATCTACAAAATTGCTTTTGTGAGAATTATTGAAAACAAATCTATGGCTTTGATTATTTTGGAGAGGGAAAAAAACTAACTCTTCTGTATAACCATGGGCTGATGAGCATTTTCCAGAAAGTAACTGTTAAATGGTATGTTTGTATTTCTTCAGAATACTTGAACCCTGTGGAGGAGAATCCTTTTGTTTCTCGGAGGAAAAATGGCGACCTTCAAGCACTGGATAATCCTGAATACCACAATGCTTCCAATGGTCTACCCAAGGCAGAGGATGAGTATGTGAATGAGCCACTGTACCTCAACACCTTTGCCAATGCCCTGGGGAATGCCGAATACCTGAAGAACAACATACTGTCTGTGCCAGACAAGGCCAAGAAAGCTTTCGACAACCCTGACTACTGGAACCACAGCCTGCCGCCTCGGAGCACCCTTCAGCACCCAGACTACCTGCAGGAGTACAGCACAAAATATTTTTATAAACAGAATGGACGAATCCGGCCTATTGTGGCAGAGAATCCTGAATACCTCTCTGAGTTCTCACTGAAGCCAGGCACAGTGCTGCCTCCCCCACCCTACAGACACCGAAACACTGTGGTGTAAGCCCAGCAGTGGTTTTAATTAGGGAGGAGAGACATGCCCACTCCAATTTCCCTACCCTCTGTCTTTCTTTTGTGGTCTTCCTTCTACTCCTAAGGCCAGTAGTTTTGACACTTCCCAATGGAAGGTATAAAGATGCAATGGTTGTTATGTGCTTTTCTAACTTGAATTTTAGAAGGAAGGACTAGAAGAGAAAGACAACAGGAACCACACTGTTTCTTCATTTCACTGCATGGGTTTGTCAGGAGGATGGAACAGCTGCAGAAGGACTAGCAAATTTAAGGCAACACTACCTGCTATGAAGGAGCCCTGGTGGCACAGTGGTTAAGAGCTTGGCTGTTAACCAAAAGGTCGGCAGCTTCAATCCACCAGCCGCTCCTTGGAAACCCTATGGGGCAGTTCTACTCTGTCCTGTAGGGTCACTATGAGTCAAAATCGACTCAACGGCAATGGGTTTTTTAACCTACTGTCAAGCTAATTTTCTTCTTCTTTCTTTCCCTTTGTTTGTTTCTTTTTTTTTTTTTAAAGGTCATGGTTTCTGTTCCTACCCATAAGAACTAATGTGTGCATATTCAGCATCCCTGGAAATCATTATGAAGTTTCCATTAGAACAGAAGGATAACCTTTTTTTATCATGTAAGATAGTAACTGAGATTGAGAATCCAATTTCTTTCTCCAACAGTTTCTACCCTGGCAAGTAAGAATGGCCACCCCAGCTTTCATATTTTTTGAATCTTCATCAAAGGACTTACTAGTAATTAAGTTTTGGGGATTTTTTTTTTTTTTTTTTTTTTTTGCTTTGGCCTGTCCATTTATATTAGTTTCTCCCCTATTTTTGGCTTTAATTTCTAGTTGCAAACATTTTTACATCAAAGCTTCTTATACGTTGATATAAATTGACAGATTTAAATAAAACATACTGTAATATGATGAAAAAGCCAATATTATAAGCATACAGTCTTTAAAATTAGAAGGGGAGGCCAAGATATTAAATGCAACATCAAATATAGCTTTCATGCTTTACACTATTGAGTATGTACCCCACCCCAATTGTTTTCATTCTTTAACATTTTTTCCTCCTTCAAAAATGATCGTACTTGATAGGCAGTTGGTAATCTTAAGCGTAGAAGGGAAACTAAGAGACAGTTCTATGTGGTTCATGAAAACTACTGACACTTTCAGGAGGTCCAATGGGGAATCCATTGAGCCAGAAGGAACACACTGGATTGGGTATGTCTACCTGGCAGATACTCAGAAATGTAGTTTGCACTTAAACTATAATTTTATTTGTTCTCTTTCTTAACTCTCTTTTGGATTTTGAATGAAGCAATATGGAAGCTACCAGCAAATTAACTAATTTAAGTACATTTTCAAAAAGAGCTATAATAAAGACTGTGAAATGCCAAACCAAGAAAGTTAGGACTTTCGAACAGTATCCAGGGATTGTGAGGAAAGGGCCAGCACATTATCTACATGTGACATCACAGTTGCAACTCAAGGAAAGTTGTCCAGTTTGTACACTCCACATGAAGGATGCGAATAAGAATTGGATTGAATTCCATGGAATTTGTAGTATGAGGATTCTGTTTATATTAAGTAGAAGATAATGCTTTGCACGTTAATTGGTACAATAAAAAGAAAAACACATACATTCACAGCTCATAGATAGGTCCTCGGGTCTAAAGTTGTAAATAAACATGAAGAAACTTCTCATGCAATTATTTTAATATCCAACATACTAATCTTTTGATTCTTGGTATAATTCATTTTTTCAGATACAGCATCCTAGTTCAAGACCAACTTTATTATGTATCATTGTAAAATAATATCTACTGAGATAAAATTAAGTGATGGGCACCATTGGCAGGGATGAGTCTGCAGAAAAAGGGAACCTCACATCAGTAATTAGGAAAATTAGACATAAGTCTCTCTTTTCTAGGTAATCCTGCCCCACGTCATTTGGATTTTTAAAAATATTTCTAAAGTTAAAGTGTTGGGATCAAATTAGAATCTATACCTAAAAGAAAACAATTGGATTAAAAATTTCCATTGATAAAGCAGAGAAAATTTAAAGGAAAAAAAAAATTCAAGGAAGAAAAGCTAGGCTTCTGCCTGTTTTAAAAAAGTAAATCCATTCAACTCCCTTGTTTATTCAATCAATATTTATTTTGAGTCTACTCAAAGGCTTGCATAATGTCGGGAACACCCAGGTAAATACAGTATCACCCCGACTTCAAAATTTTACAGTCTAGGAGATTTATTTGGAATGATATTTGAATTTCTCCATGAGTTCCTGGAATCAGATTGCAGAGAGTATTTTGTGAGTGGCTCTCATAAAATCAGTTGTTTGGCAAGAGATCTCCTGTGAACTCATTTGGGAAGTGAATGAAACGTTCTTCAAGTGACTAAGTTGACAAATAGAGTAGTTTCAATGTTTTTATCCAAACACAAACTAGTCTAGAAGGATATTGCAACACTGGCTAATTGGCCTATATGGAGTTTAACTTCATTGTTAAATCAAAAGCAGATGGTGGTCTTCAGTCAAGAACCTTGGAAGGTTTAGGAGAGATCTCTAGAAAGCCATAAGGCAAGCCTAACAACTCAGAGTTCTCCTTAGGGGGGGATTATCCAATAGGCAAGCTAGGCATGGTGCTTACCTTGCTTACCAGATCATCTGTAGTGAACAATTTCACATTTTTTGCTACATCAAGATTCTGCTTCTAGGTATGGCTGGCATCTATCTCTCTCCACCCCGCAGCACCTTCCTATGGAATCAAATCTTTTCAAATTTATAATCCCTGACAGGGGCAGATGAGCCATTAAGCAAGTAAGCACGGATATATTGTGCTTACTTACTAATTTGTAGTGAGCAATTCACATGAGCAATTACACATGGGCAGTTTCACATCTTTGATGTAGTGAAATTGTTTCATCTTGGGGAACCCTATTTTCAGGCATGGAAAAACTGTATGGCTAACTGATTGTTGAAGAAGTAGTACTTAGATAGTTGAGAAGAGATGCCCTCAAACCAGGTTAGACCCAAAACCACAAAGCATCAGGCACCACAAAGAGGTGTTTGGATTACTGAGCATCTCTTGCTTCTCCAGATAATATTGATGGCATAGGTTAGAATGAGAGTTCTTTGTCCAGTAACATTCTTGAAAATATCATGAAAAACTACGCCAAACTCAAACTATATCAAAAGGTACAAAAGAAAAACGAGATTCTTTCTTAGTAGATCAGGAAGAATGATTGATCTTCTGAAACTTGAGAGAAGAAACAGTGTTCTTCTGAGTGTTATAGTGTGTGTGGTAATACCTTCTCAAGGAAAGATGGCATGAAGTATGTGCATATTTCCAGTGCTGAGGAGACACACACAGAGGGACCCTGAGGTTCGGCTGCTAGATGGAAAGACTGTCAACCTGCTTCTTCAAGTGTCAAAAGTGAAAAGAAAAGAAATGATTAAGCCTGACAGGGAAGGATGTAAATACAAGTTTTTCTAGAGCTATCTAACCTTTATTTTGAAACTTGAATTATTCATCCATTTGTAATTGTTGATTATTTAACTAGTATATATAGTTCATAAGGTAATAGAGAAGGTGATCATGAACGCATGTATATAACTGGGCAGAACTGTGATAATGCTGTAAGAAGTAGATCTAGTTATCAAATGTTAAATGATTTTAATATTGTTAAATAAATCAAAATAGAAAGCTAACAATAAAATATAATGTAACAAACTAAAACGCAGGGTATAAAAAAGTAGGATGGGTTTTTGCATAGTAAAAAAATAAGTTTGCCATTTAAAATTGTTCTTTGTTAGGTTTAGCTTAAAAAAAGGCATGTGATGAGCTGGTTCCACTTTTGAAAATGATTTTAAGTATTTCAATTAATTTTTTTTCTCATTCTCTTTTCCTTTATAATTTTTAAAATGCATTAATGTAAGGAGTTTTTTTAAGTTTGTTTGCAAACACCACTTTGTGGAGTTTAACAGTCTGTTATGTTATCTATGACTTTAAGTAAGAGGTCTTCAAAGTGGAGCAAAGAAAACAGAACACAAAAAACGTTCTGTTACCTTATGCAGAGACAAATGAGTGTTGCCATTTAGTAAGCAAACAAAATACATTTAATTTGTGACGTCTCATTTATTTTTCCACAATCCTCTTCCAACCTCCTAAAACAAAAACAGGGAATTGGTAAACAACATTCTGATAAATAAATGCTAAACCAAGCACTTCAAACAGCTGTATTTCTATTAGCTTGGACTCTACTTACTAGACTGATGATTTGCAATGGTGCAAATGAGATATCCAGGTGTACACACTTCTAGTTATTAAAAAGCCAGACTCATTAACTTTTGTTTCTGCTATGGGCAGAGAATCCTGCTGTCCCTCTCTTTGTGTACATGAACTTTGGTGTGGATCAGTTTGAAGGACAGCCTTGTACGTACCCATGTAGACCCGAAAATGCAGACTGGTGTCTCCTGGCTGGCATTTGCTTAAGAATGAACGATGTTAGACTTATATGGATCAGGTGTGATTTTAAATGGTCAGTATCAGTGGAGACCTTAATATTACTGATATTACAATGGGGCCAGCTTTTTTAAGTCTGGGTAGAATTATTAACAATTTTTCTGATCTCAGAGCTGCCTTTGTAAGCATCATTCTCTCTGCAGTTACAAACAGGAAGCCTGTTGTATGTGCTGTGTCATGCCAGGAACCCTTGTGTTTTTATGGACAAACGTCTTTTAACGCCACAGCTGCTTTCTTCTTTTCAGTAAAAGAAAAGTCACTCTAAAATAGAAATTGCACACTCTGCTCAAGTCACACTGATTTTGTAGAGGTGCCAAAATGTAGGACATGTCACTTTCGCAGACCCCTGCCTCACCTCATCTCGGCCAGGTGATATTTTGGGCAGAAGAAAACGTTTCTATAGTCACGAGCTGAGAAGATTCTAAGCCCCAATTTTATGGGGGTATTCCCATGCTTCTCCGGGAAAACACT